AATGGAGGAGGAGAAGGAGGTGGAGGAGAAGAAGAGGAGGAGGAGGAGGAGGACGAGGAGGAGGAGGAGGAGAGGAGAGGAGGAGGGGGGAGGAGGAGGAGGAGGAGGAGGAGGAGGAGGAGGAGGAGGAGGAGGAGGAGGAGGAGGAGGAGGAGGAGGAGGAGGAGGGGGAGGAGGGAGGAGGAGGAGGAGGAGGAGGAGGAAGAGGGGACGAGGAGGAGGAGGAGGACGAGGAGGATGAGGAGGTCAGGAGGAGGAGGAGGAGGAGGTGGAGGAGGAGGAGGAGGAGAAGGAGGTGGAGGAGAGGAGGAGGAGGACGAGGAGGGGGAGGAGGAGGAGGGGGAGGAGGGAGGAGGAGGAGGAGGAGGAGGGGAGGAGGAGGAGGGGAGAGGATGAGGAGGAGGAGGAGGGGGAGGAGAGGGGGAGGAGGATGGCCAGGAGGAGGGGGGAGGGTGAGGGGGCGTCGGAGGAGGGGGAGTCGGAGGAGGGGGAGGGGGGAGGAGGTGAAGGGGGGGTTGGAAGAATCCGCGGAGGGGATGGGCGGAAGAGGTGGCGAGGAGGATTGTGGAGGGAGGAGGATGAGAAGGGAGCACGGGGGACGGCGAAGAGACGAATGGGGACCAGGAGGTAACTAATTAGGGGATGAGGAGGAGTAGGAGGGTTAAACGTTCAGGAGGACCGGTACGACAAGGCGGGTGGGAGGGCGGTGACGAAGATCATGCAAATGGGGAGGGAGGAGGCGGGGACGGGGAGAGATGAGAGCTTCGGGGATGGATAGAGAACCCCACCCTGCCAAGTCGGTTAGCGCATTGTCTTTCTCGGTTCTCGAGAAGTTGCTGCGCCCGCAATGGTCGCATTCCTGCGCCCGCCTTGTCTGGTCCCATTTCTTGTTTCACTAACGAGTGCGTTGCTAGAGGGCTTATCCAGCTCGTTCGATCTGTGCGAGCGCCAGGTGCAAGACAAAATGCATGGATTGCTAAAGGAGTTCCGTCCAGCCCTGAGAGGTAGGAAGTGGTGGAGTCGGAGTAGAATGAGGACGACTGGGGGGACGGCGAAGAGGAGGAGCAGGACGACAATAATGAGGATCAGGATGAGAACGACTCGGGAATGAGCGAAGAGGAGGAGCAGATCTACAAGGAGGAGGATCAGGAGGAGGATGGATGGGAGCACGGCGAAGAGGAGGAGCAGAACGACCAGGAGGAGGGTCAGGATGAGAACGACTGGGGGGACGGCGAGGAGGGGGAGCAGGACGACAAGGAGGATGAGGAGGAGGATGCATGACGCCACGGGTGCCGAGTTCGCCCAGCGGCCCGCTCAAGAGAAAGGAGGAGGATGTGGAGACGACGAGCCGTCACTTAGGACCTCCAGCTGCCTTGCTCGCGCGCTGCACGGCATGCCCGCGGGAGCACAGGCGGCCTTCTCTCCCAGAAGTAGCGCCCGCTGTCCCGAGAACGCGTCGCGGTTGCCACCGCCAGCGGCGTGACCCCGGGGGAAGCGAGAGGGGGCAGGCCGTCTCCAGAAGGCGGCGGGGCCTATCAGAAGCCCGCGCGCCCCCTTTCTTGAAGCCACCTGCGTCTTCCGAGATGGCTTAACAAGGCAGGGGGCCTGAGGCAAGGCGGCGCGCCTGAAGGGGGCGAGCAATAGGCTGGCCTTCTAGAAAACAAGGGAGCGAGCTTTTGACAAAAACGTTGCCTGACCCGAGAGGCTTCCAAGACGGCCCCTAGTCTCTGGAGGCCGAAGGCCGTTGAGCCTTTCGAATCAGGCCCCCTGGGAACAAGACAAAAACTAATCAGGACATCGGCAAGAGGGATACACGACGCCCGTTCCTGCAGAGTCAGATGTGGTAGTCCCTTGCATGTTTTGGGGGCTGTACTGCATCAGTCGGGTCTCCGTCCGGGTCTAAGGGGGGGGGGCAGGCGTTTGGGGCCGTTGTCCGGGTTTGTCCCAGGATTTCGGCAGTGCAGTTTTTCTCGTGCCGCCGTCTTGAAAACATTCGGCTTCGACGGGTGTTACGTAATTGTCCTGGTCTAGCGGGTCCAGGGTTGCGAGGCCCCTGCTGAGAAGGCCGGCCGCCTCTGCCTTCGCCCCTGGGCCCTCATCCCTCCTCCTCCTCCCCTCCTCCTCCTCCTCCTCCTCCTCCTCCTCCTCCTCCTCCTCCTCCTCCTCCTCCTCCTCCCCTCCTCCTCCTCCTCCTCCTCCTCCTCCTCCTCCTCCTCCTCCTCCTCCTCCTCCTCCTCCTCCTCCTCCTCCTCCTCCTCCTCTTGCTCCGCACCCCGTGGACCCGGCGACCCAGCGCCAGGTCCACAGATCCCCACTCCATGTCAGCGTGGTCCCGAGAGGAGGAGGGGGAGCGGATCGAAGTCCGAGGAGGTCCGAGAACTGCAGGGAGGCCTCCATGGCCTTCGTCGTCTCAGGCCCCCCCTTCACTCATGCCAGGACATTGCTAGCCAGAGCTTCGAAACTTCAGCGCAGGGAGAACGAAACCCGCGGCTTGCTCTGGCCCACGGCAGCAGTTTTTTCTCCAGTGCGCCCACGTCCTGGCTCGTCAGAGTCCCCGCTTCGGGGGGCCCTGATCGCCGAGGCCGACGGCGACCCCGACCCCCAACGTCATTTTTTAATAATCAAAAACATATATGTATATGTATATGTATATATATATATATGTACGACCACCCTGCGGGCGATAAGGAGGTTGGGGGGATTGAGATCAAATGCCCACCCTGACTGACCTCCAGCCTGTCATCTTGATATCATCTCTCTCTTTCTCTCTGTCTCTCTCTCTCTCTCTGTCTCTCTCTCTCTCTCGCCCTCTCTCTCCCTCTCTGTCAGAGTCTCCCTCCACCACAATGATGATCGCGATGACGATGGGATCCCACTATCTACCTATCCGTCGACCGACCTATCGGTAAATCTCAGTGTCGATCTCACGATCGACCTCAAAAGCAAAATGAGAAAACCCGACGCAGGCGCCGAAAGCCGATTTGTTGTCGGACAACCACAGGACAACCATCGGCACAACCACGAGGACAACCATTGGATAAGATAAGATGGGGTGGATTGGCAGAAATGCGTTGGATATGATCAGATGGATTGGTTTGGCCCGCCGCAGGCGCAGAAACAACTGAATTGATGTATTGAGTTGGGTGGGTTCGATTGGGTGGGATAAGATAAGATGGGACGATATGGGTTGGATAAGATCAGATGGATTGGATTGGGCCAGATGGATTTGATAAGATAAGCTGGATTGGATAAGAAAGCCCGCCGCAGGCGCCGAACAACAAAAATATGAAATTAGCGACATGCGTTAGCGCCGGGACACCTGGGACACCCGGGACACCGCCCGGCCCAACTGGGACACCTCCCGGCCACCGGCGGACGGGAAACGGACTTTCGCACGCTCCGACTGACACCCGGGACACCCGGGACACCGCCCGGCCCAACTGGGACACCGCCCAGCCACCGGCGGACGGGAACGGACTTTCGCTCCTACTTCGGCTTAGCTACAGGAGGATCACGCGCAGCTTCGCCTCGCCCGCACTCACGACACGAACACGAAACCGAAACCGATTCCCCGGTGGGGGGGGGTCTCCGTTTCACTGCGATCTCCCCCCCCAATGTCCGACATATATATATATATATATATATATATAGATAAAAAATATAGATATGAACATATATATATACACATATATATATACATATATATATATATATATAGAAATGTCTGCGTTTTAATGATAATTCTTTCTATCATCAGTATCCTCATTATTTCTGTTCTCCGTATTATTACCATTCGTATTATTCGTGCTCGGCCTATCATAACTATTACATCGACTCCCCGAGGTCCTGACCACCTCCCCCAGGCTGGTTGTTCGTGCTGAGCCGTGTTCGGACGGTCCCGGGGGCCGGGCGAGGGCCCCCGGAGCCAAGAACGGCAGCATCGGGTGCAGCCGGGACCCTTGTTGTAGGGGGACCCGGCCAGTAGCAGGACCCGGGAGCCCCTAAATTCGGGGGCGGGAAAGGGGGGGGGGGATCATGGCGGGGGTCATGATATTTCCCCAGATTTCATGGCCTCCTCTTATTTCGTACGTCCCTGGCCCCCCCGCTGGGCCGCGCACATGCCGCCGGTCATGATTTGCACCCCCCCCCCCTCTTGGACACCCCCCTCTTGGCCGCTCCCGATAAATTGACCAGCGTCACTAGACCAGGTCCGCCGTAGTTGGTGTTTTTTTCGGGCGTCGGCAGTTCCTGTTGGTGGAACGCCCGGGGGGGGGGCGCCCCCAAGTACGCATCACTAAACCAGATCCTATTATAAGCCGAGTTCTGCCAACGCCCGACAAAACACCGTCCGCCATGTTTTTGTCACGACCCGAGGGGGTCTGGCGACGGCGACGGCGACGACGGCCCACTGAAGGACCCGCCCACGACGGCGCCTTCGGCGCGGGGGGCCCGCCCCAGCCAGCCTTCGCCGCGGAGGACTAGCCGGGACCCGGGGCCCGGGCGCGGAGGAGGGCCTGGGGGCAGGAGGGGGATGACGTGGAGAAGGAGGAGGAGGAGGAGGAGGAGGAGGAGGAGGAGGAGGAGGAACAGGCGTCGGAGGGAAAATGCAGGCACGGGGACGAAAGAGGGGCGAAGCCACCCCACCCGCATCCAGGGTGGAGCTGGAAGAAGGGGCCGTGCGGAGGGGGAGGGCCGGGGAACTGGAGGGGCCCGCACCAGATCGGGAGGGAGGCATGCAGGAGAACTATAGTGGAGCAGGATGGCTGGATGGGGCCTTCTCCATTTTCCCCGTTGCGCTCCTACCTCCCTGGTTCACTTCCTCGTGCGTGCTGCCCCATTTGCGGTGCGTTCTGCGCCGCGTCCTCTGTATTCCAGCGTTTGTCCATCCCTCCCTCTCACTCCTCTTTCGGGCCACTTGCGCGCAGGAAGTGCAGACGGGTGGGCTGGAAGGCCACGCCCAGGCCAGCCACGTCGTGGATCCCCACCGCGCGTGGCCGGGGATGCCTGGCATCTTGCCGCCGATGAACCAGGCGGGGCCCTGGAGAGGGCACGAGGGCAGGAGATTAAGGAGGATACGAAGGATCTTCCGATAGGAGGGATGGGAGCAGGAGGTGGGGATGAGGAGGAGGGGAGGAAGAGACCAGAGAAGGAGGACGAGGAGGAAGAGGAGGAAAAGGACGAGGAGGAGAAGGAGGAGGAGGAGGAGGAGGAGGAGGAGGAGGCGAGAGTGGGAGGTGGGGCTTCTGGGGAGGAGAGAGAGGGCGGTGGATCCTCTGGGGATCGCTGGGGGCCTCAGCGGGACTTCCTGGGACTGCAGGGGGCGTGTGGAGACCTTCGGGGACCTTCGAGACTTCGGGGCCTCCGCTTAAGGTGGCGACGCTGGTCTTTCTGCACGCTCCGTGAGTCTCTCGGATGCCCTGGTTGCCACGACTGGACCCGCCTCGACATCATTGCTGGAGCGCAGTCGGAATAGGTTCGCTTGCAGACTCCAGGGATGAGGGGAACGATGGGGAGGAGGACGACCAGTGCAAGCCCAGGGCGCACCAACGACATTGCAATACACCCTCACTCCAAATTCCCTCGTCATAGGTCCCTTCAGGAATGTATGTTCATTGCGGGAAGTGGCCCATTAGAAGACATCCGGTTGAGAATTGTGCCAGAACCGTTCTTGGGACTTCACCGCCGCGCATCCACGTGATTGCTGCCACCTGACAATTCCAAACCGCGCCAGCATGCAATTCCTGGGAATTCTACACCGCGAAGTCTCGTGACTCATCCTTGGATGTGCTGCAAACTTCTGAGGCGAATGTGCGGGGCGATAAAGCCAGCGCCACCTTTTGAAATGAGGCCGCCCATCATCCTTGGAGCTGCTGCGACTATTGTAATGCGAGTGTGCGTGTCGCGATGGCGAGATCCGCATTCTGACAACCACATGCCCTCTCAACGCATGTATGTCTTAAAACTGTTTAGACGAATGCGCGCGGCTCTGTGGTGAAAACTATATTTTGAAACCGCCCCGCCCGCAATCTGCGAACTTGTTGCAACTATCAAGCTTCAGGATCATAAATGGTGAGGGGTCTTAGGCGAAACGCCCAGCACGCCGTACCGACACGTCAGGGGGTGGGACAACGAGTAGAAACGTATAAGAAAACAGGGTGCATACAGAGGCGAGGAGGAGGAAGAGGTGTTTCAACGTAGGGCACCAGGTTACTGTGCAACCGATGGCGTTGGGGTCAGGAAATTAGAATCACCGTCAGGAGGTGTAACACACCTGTGCACTGCAAGTGCTGACCGCTTGCTACGAATGAGAGCCCCACCTTCGTCACAGTCGTTGTGTTAACGTAGCACGGTGTTGGGGCGAGGTTTTGGCAACAATAAGCTGTACAGCGACAGTTGCCTCACGCCAGGAATAGATGGAGGCCAGACTTGCCAACTTCGGGGTTTAACATCGTACCGCATACAATCACGGTGACTACGAGTTTGCCACAGCGTTACGCGATTACGATTTTTCTGAAGAGCGACAGCTTTCGGGTAGCCGAAGCTTACCCAACGAGCACGCGATGTCACGATTGATGGTAGTTGGGGACTAGCGCGGCAATGCTTACCACCATCAGTCGCGAGAGTAAGCGCGAGGCGGATACCACACAAGTGAAGGTGCGAGTGGCCGAATTGGACGGAATAGAGAAAATGAGGACGAGTGTGGCCCTCGCTCATATAGCTGAAAAGGTAGGATTCAACAACAGCCACGCCCACCAATCGCCCTTGAGTGGATCGAAGGCAATCCAATCACTGAAAAACTTTAACAGAGATCGGGCGAAGCTTCGAGACGCGGACGACAGAGTGCGAAACGCACTTGCACAAATTAGCATTGGGAGCAGCAATACTCTTACAATGCTACAGTCGGTGTTAGAGACGGCAGAGCTGCGCCAGACCCGAACGGGGCAGGCGATTCTCTACGAATGCTCAACGGGGGATCGACAGCAGCAGAGCATACAAAGGCATCAGCAGAGAGGAAGCGCGAAGAAGACGAGCGCGAAGCTGAATACGTTCGGGGCGAAGACGAGTTTCGCAAGCTGGGTGAGGACTCATTGTGCCTCCGAACCGAAAAACTGGAGAGCACTGGAGAGCGTTGAGGCACGATGCAAACCACACAGCCTGAAAGAAGGTGGAGGACTGATTGTTGACATGAAGATCTGTACGTGGTATTCTGCTGTACCAGGGATGCGCAATCGGATTAGAAACTCGGCCATCAATCCGGCCAGACCTTATAAAATAGGTGGCACGTCGGTCGACATCGGAAAGTGGGCGTCGCTGGCAGAGGGGCTCGATATATACTTAAAACGTATGAACCGCCCTTACCCGCAAGTTGCTCCAAAAATAGGAGGACACGCGCCACGGAGTGGCTCGATGACCGGCAGCAAGATTCGTCAACGCGTGATGTTGTACCTGCCAGAGGATCCTGTTCGGAAATTGCGGTTGGATGCTGACGCGGAGAGCAGCGGCGCGATGGACACCGGGGGGAGGTACGAGCAAGTATCGCCCAGAACCTTTAGCATAACTGGGAAGCTACTGCGGATGTTATGACGAAGAGGGCAGTTGGTGCCCCCTGGACGAAGAAGGCAACGTCGGCTGGACTGACGACGAAGGCTTGGGCGATGGAGACGTTGGCGCAGTCGACGCTGGTCATAGTAAAGGAAGGTCCATGTGCTACAAGTGCGGCAGAATGGGCCACGTGGCTAGGGGCCGCAGAGTCATGGGCAAAAGCAAGGGCGGCTGCAGAAGGAAATGGGACCCAGGCTGGCAGAATGGGGCCACTACAAGGGCAACCACGGTAACTGCAATGGAGCTAGTAAGCAATCAAGGCAATCAGGGGTACACCAGGTGGCACGGGTTACGTGCACATGAGTGCGCGCGAATGCTACAAGCGCGGACAACAGGGCCACCTTGCAGCAAACTGCACCGCGAGGGATCCAGCGAGGTCGGACAGGCCAGCAGAGAACAGGGAAACTATCACCCTGGGCAGCCACAGTCGGAGATGGACCGATAATGCTACGCTGCTGCTTGGGATTGCCCTGGTCCGCGCGAAGCACCGTGGGGAACGCCAGCCAGGATGAAGCAGAAATTGGCGCGCGACATGAGACAGCGACTCAAATCTCCAAGGACGACGCGCCAGAAATGTGGCCATTGCGAGGCCCTTGGGTGCGATGAGAGCGAATGCGCGGGTAACCTCGGACTGGTAGGGGTAATTTACGAGACAGAATTGGCGAACGCAGCTCCCAAGGACAACAGTCCATAATCTCACGTAGAAGCTTTGGTGGTCACCGTCGACGCAGGAGCTTAGACAGCAGTCGGGCAAGTCGGGGCACACTTCCCAGCGAAACAGACGGAGGCTTCGAAAAATGGTCGCCATTACAGCGCAGCCGACGGGGCCGCAATCAAGAACCACGGGCAGCGAGTAATTGCAGGGTTGAACGAAGCGGGTGACAAGGTAGCAATGTTTATGCAAGTCGCCGTCGTCAAGAAATCATTGGGGCCAGCGCGCGAAATGGTGGAAGCTGGTAACGAGATCGTCTTGGATCGGGATGCTCGCGGTGGATCGCGCAGTTGCCCGATCCATCGAGCTTAAGACAGGAGGATGGCGGATCCAGGAGCACAGCAGAACCTGCCACTTCACCTGTCTGGCTCACGAAGGAAAGGGCAGGCCGGCGCGGCAAGTGATGAGGCCATTCTTCGGAGGAGACGACGAGAACGCATAGCTTGAGTCGGGCATGCCCCTCTACAGGAGGAATATTCAAAAATTGTTTTCAAAAAATAGTCTGAGGACGATTTTCGACAATGTGTAACTATTTTGTTGCATGTGTTGTTTACCTTTAATTGTTCTTCGACCTCAGGATCGCCCAGCAACGGGCGCTGCAGTTCTCGGGACCCGGCAAGGTCAACACTGTTTCGGGCGCCAGAGTGCGGGGGGGGCCACCCAGAGAGCAGACGCAAAGGAGGTAGTGGTGGAGGATGTGTTGATGGGGCCAGACGGGGGCACCCGCATAGGCGGGCCCCAGCATGAGCGAGGGAGCATGGAGAGCAGAGGCAAGGGGGAGGCGGAGGAGGGTGAGGAGGACACGCGGGGGGATCTGTGAAGGCGCTAGCGGAGGGCGTGCCCGACCCCAGAAGGCGCTAACAACGAGTTCATCGTTTTGTCGTGTGCTTCTTCCCTGGCCTCCCACATGGGGTCCGGGTTGACGGGGTCGGATATTCACGGCGCATCGCCGATGCCTCAGCGATGCGGTTCGATTTGGAGCCTGACTTTCTCCATGCCGACGTCGCCGATGCATCGGCGATGTTGCGCCATCCTCTGACCCCATTCGTCGGGAGTCCTTGGTGCTTGTTCGACAAAGCCCAGGGCACGTGTAGAGTTTGCTTGTGATGTTTCGCAGTGCCGTTTCTGTGGGGCAGTTCTGCCTCTGGGCTGGCCCGTCCTCCCCGCCAGGTCCGCGACAGGGTGGGCGTCTGGCTGGGCGCCAAGCCGCGGCCAGCAGCTCAGGGGGTGCTCGGCCACCTTGCGCCTTGCCTCCAGGAGGAGGAGTAGGAGGATGGGGAGGAGGAGAAGGAGGAGGAGGAGCAGGGAGAGGAATTGGGGGGGCGGGAGGACGAGGATGATGGAGGGGGGCAGAGGTGGGGGGAGGAGGAGGAGGAGGAGGAGGAGGAGGAGGAGGAGGAGGAGGAGGAGGAGGAGCATTGAGGAGGAGGAGGAGGAGGAGGAGGAGAAGAGGAGGAGGAGGAGGAGGGGGGGGACGAGGAGGAGGAGCAGGAGGACGAGGAGGAGGAGGAACAGAAGGAGGCAGCGGCGAAGGCCTGGAGCAGGGCCTTCGTGTGGCTCCGGGATTGCTTGGTGCTGCTCGTGGGTATCATCTTTCGCAGGGGAGTGCGAGCGTGCCATGAGAAAGAGGGCGTCGCTTCACTGATGGATGCGGCATTCAGCTTCGAGCGTCGAGAACCCATGGTCATCCCACTTGATGCGATGGACCTCTGTGCTTCTCTCTTTCCTCCGCTCCTCTCCCTGGTCTTGTTCCTTGCCGCTCAGAGTCAGTAAACGGCGATCTGGAACGTCTGAAGCAACCAACCGGCTAGACTGCCGAGGGCGAGGGTCAAGGGCCGAGAATCTAGAACAGGAAGACGACTGTCGGGCTAGGAGGACGGGTTTGGGAGACATGAGGGAATCCTTACCTTTGGACGGCCAGAGGTATCGTCCATTGCATCCGGATGCTAGTGTTCATGCCTTTCATCCTCGCAATCCCCTCCTCTGACCACGATGATTGTTCTTCTCGTAGGCTTCCCAACCTCTTCCTCCCAACCCCTTCCTCCCAACCCCTTCCTCCCAACCCCTTCCTCCCAACCCCTTCCCCCCAGCCCCTTCCCCCCAGCCCCTTCCTCCCAGCCCCTTCCCCCCAGCCCCTTCCTCCCAACCACTTCCTCCCAGGCCCTTCCTCCCAACCCCGTCCTCCCAGCCCCTTCCTCCCAGCCCCTTCCTCCCAGCCCCTTCCTCCCAGCCCCTTCCTCCCAGCCCCTTCCCCCCAGCCCCTTCCTCCCAGCACGATAAGGGTTCCCCTCGCAGGCTCTGGGGCGGATTCCGGGGCGGACACTTTGCATCCCTCTGGGCATGCCCGGGGGTCCTCATCGCCACGGCCAGGCCCGCCTCGGCTTCCTGGTCGGAGCGCGCCACAGGGTTCGGGAGGAGAACAAAACACAGACACAGCAAAACGTCGATTATTGGGAAAGCTAGGAAAGTATGGGAAGTGGGGGGGGGAAGACGAAACTCCAGAACATATAGAAAATGATCGGGAATCCTGGGGCTTGTGTGTATTTGTTTGTGTGTCCCTCGGCGTCTTCAGGGATGACCTTGTCAAGCAATCGTCACCCTCCCCTCTCCCCCGCCCCTCCCCCCTTTTCGGCGAATTGTTGTTGCTTCCGCCCCTGGAAGTAACACACCGGGGCCCAGACATTCAAAATGTGGTTCTCGCCGTAGCGCCGCGCACACTCGTCCTGACAGATTGCAGGAGCTTCACGGATGGAGGGTGGATCCTTTTCAAAAGTTCCCTCTCGCCTGACCGCCGCGCACCTTATGTCTGGGTGTCGTCGCCGAGGCCTGGGACTCAGACCTCAAGAAGGTGCGGGTTGTCCTGAGGTTGGGCCTCCAGAGGCCCGTCCCGTGTTCCAGGGCCCTCATACAGCTGCCCGCGACGAGAGGCTCGTACCAGCTGTTGGGATCGAGGGGCTCACGCAGTGACGAGTTCACGGCGTGGGGGGTGCGCGTGCTGTAGGAAGCTGCAGGGTCGTCGTCGTCACAATCTTCGTCAGCATCATCTTCAAAGTCCACAGTCCTTCACAAGGTCTCCCGTGCATCGCGCATCCCGCATCCCCTCCTCTGCGGCCAATCCCAAGTCCATCGCCACCGCTGTACTTGCCTCGTCATGGGCGTCCCAAGGGCAGGAGCAGAAACCGGACGCAAATGTACATGAGCTCACGTGCGTGCGCGAACGTTCGTGCCCGAACGTTCGTAACATGCCGCTGGCCTGTCAGGTAAAGCTACAGCTAAAAGCTAAAGCGAAAAGTCAGGTCAATTTGGGTTTCGGAAGGGACTCGAGGGGGAGGGGGAGCCGGAGGTGCCGAGGGAGAGCGGCGGATGGATTTGGAGGGGAGGAGGGGGAGGAGGGGGAGGAGGAGGAGGGGGAGGAGGAGGAGGAGGAGGAGGAGGAGGAGGAGGATGCGGAGGAGGCGGAGGAGGAGGAGGAGGAGGAGCAGGAGGAGCAGGAGGAGCAGGAGGAGGAGGAGGAGAAAGAGGAGGAGGAGGAGGAGGAGGAGGAGGAGGAGGAGGAGATGGAGGGCCCTTCCATCAGCTGGCCTCCGGCGCCCCTCGCGGGCCCTGGCGCAGCCCGAGGACCCAAAGGGGTTTCGCTCCTCATCTGGGGCCCCCTTGCGGCAGACCTGCCGCGTCGCACTGCGCCCCTGCGATCGGTTCCCGTCGTGTCGACGAAGCGGCGGGCCCAGCCCCAGCGCGGCAGTGGCCTGGAGTCGGGCGGCACGGGGCGATCTCTGCGCCATCGGAAAGCCCCCAGCGTCCGAGGTCGAGAGAACTCAGAGAAGGGAAAGGTACCCATACCTCTACCCATCGCCCAGTTTCCCATTTTTTCGGCCTCCTGGGAGGCCCTCGTTGCCACCGCTGGATTCGTCTCGAGATTCTGGTCAGAGCGCAACCCAGGCGAGGTCTGTGGAGTAGCGGTATCGGTGCAGATTGGTCTCCCCAAGAAGACCACGGTTTCGGAAATCAGCGCGCAGGCCGTCCCAGCACGAAAATTGGCCGCACCTCTGAGCCGCACCACGGGCTTGTGGGCGGCACGCCCGCCAGAGCGCAGCAGCCGGTGCGCCCGCAGCGAAGAAGCGCCTCCCTGCCTCTGGCTGCAAGCGCGCGGGGCCGTCGCCGCGTGCTGCGCACCGCTCTCGCCGCGCACTGGGCCCTGGGGCTGTCCCGGGTGGGGCGTGCAAGAGGGGGGTTGAGGACCAGAGGGGGGGGAGACATCTCGTGGCCGCAGCCAGGTTCTCTCCCAGGTTTCCTGGCCCCCTCTGCAGCTTTCAACGCGTTTCCGCGCCCCCCTCCCCTCCTCGCCCGCGCACGCGCCTCGGGCCACAATGCGCACCAACCTCTCTTCATGGCCCTCCTCTTCGGCACACCCGGGAGCAAAGCTCTCCGCCACTGCCGTCGTCTCCTATTGGGTAAGGTCCACTTTGAGTTCGAAAGGGGGCTCTGTGTTCCGTGGGTGCTTCCGCGAGTCCCCTCCTGGCGCTCGATGGGCATCACTGACGCCCAGGAAGGGCTTCGTTCCTGCTCCAGGATTCCTCAGGGAATAACTTGGATTGTACCGTTATTCGATGCACCACCATCACGACCGTCACCACCAACACCACGCCAGTGTAATGGCAGCGTGGCTTCTGTGCCCAGCGAGCTGAAGCACAGACCCCGAACAGGCTATATAGAAGAGTACGGTATGACCTGGTGTGTGGCGCATGGTCAGAAAACGCCCTTTGGAGGTGGTGGTGTAAGTCGCGCGAGCTTGGAGAATGCATCTCGGAGGCGTGGCGAAGTGTTGTGCGCTCCCGTCCAGAGGGCATTTCAAAGTTACAGTACAGCCCAGGGCGCCCAAGTGGGGTCGGAGTATTACGCAGCATCGCCGATCCGACCTGGAGCCAGATTATCTCCACGCCGACGTCGCTGCTGCATCGGCGATGCTGCGCGATCCTCCGACCCCATATTCTTCGACCGCACTTGGGCGGCCTCTGTGCATTCAGCACCTCTGCAGTCAGAGCACTCTTCGTGCGCAATCCTGGCTGCCCGTGCGCACCGTCCCGCTTCGAAATTCACCCGTGCCGTCTCTGGAGCTTCTTGCTGTGCCTTCGCGACGTCCTAGAGCCCTCCTGCACGGGCACCTTGGACACCCAGGGCCGCGTGGGCCTTCCCGTGCGCCACGTCCACCCCCCCCTCTCCAAAGCTCGGGAGTCGACCTCCCCGAGAGAGGCCTCGAGAAGGGGTGGGCGTCTCGCGCTGGGATCCGTCCTCTCTGACTCCGCGAGCTCTGGGATCCCAGGTCCCAGGCGTGGACCCACCCATCACCACCGCCTGGGGGAGCGACCTTCGGGGGCCTCGGCAGGCGGTGGACATGGATGCACAGTGGGGTGTTATGGTTTTGACCATAAGACGTCAAGCTGTGGACCCCCCCGACCCTACCCGTATAATCTTAGCGAGGGATTGTTGGCCAGGGAGCTGTCCGAATCCAATGGACTCGTACCCCGTAGCAACACAAGATATAACCGTGTGATAATGACTCCGTCCTATTAAAACATAACCCCGGAAATCGTTCCAATTTGGACCCACTCACAGCGCAGTCGTTCCGCATGGGTCACTTGAGATTGTCAGTGTCATCGTCGCCATCGTCGTTGTCATGCCGATGTCAACGCGATGCTCCATTGTATTCCCTCTCGCTTTGACGCAGTGTGGCCCTGGGAGTCCTTATCCAACGCTGTCGCTCTTGCGCTGGCCGGCCATGCTGGGGAGTTCACGACGGCGCGCGAATCCGCATCAGGGCACTCCTGCATCCTAACCGGTCGTCCGCGGCACGCGGGACCAGCTATGCAAGTCTATGCTGATGGTCAACAAAACACTCCAGCACCTGGCAAGTATGTCTGGGTCCTATGGTGGGATCAAATCTATACATGGCCGCTGTCTGCCGAGGTCCCCGAAGAGCGGCCCCCCCAGGCGGTCGTTCTGGAGCCATCCCCGACTCGCACTGGCCCGCCTACTGCTTTCCAGACAGAGCCCTGCCTTCGAGGGTCGAGGAAGCTGGCATCTCTTCCCCGGCGGAAGGCGGCGGGGATGCGTTCTCAAGAGATGGCATTTTTGGGTTTAGGGCTTGCGTGATCGGCCAGCTGAAGCGGATGAGGAGGAGAAAGAGGGGGATGAGGGGGAGGAGGATGAGGAGGGGGATGAGGAGGAGGAGGAGGAGGAGGATGAGGGGGGGGAGGAGTAGGAGGAGTAGGAGGAGGAAGAGGAGGAGGAGGAGGAGGAGGAGGAGGAGGAGGAGCTGGAGGAGGGGAGGAGGATCGTGGGCACTGTCAGCGCCAGCGCCGCTGCCGTCCCCGTGGCGGCCTCTGCTCGGGGCAGCACCCCGCCCCCGAGGTCCGCCGGGGTCCTGCCGCCCGGCCCGCCCGAGTCCGTGGGCCCTGCGGACTTCGCCCCCAGGATGCCGGTGTGCACGCGTGTGTGCAACGCGGCTGCGGGGAGGCCAGGGGGGCTCCTCCCTCCTCCCTCCCTCCCTCCTCCCTCCTCCTCCCTCCTCCTTCCTCCTCCCTCCTTCCTCCTCATTCTCCCTCTGGCTGCCCCTCTTCAACCTCCTCCTCTTCCTCCTCTTCCTCCTCCTCATCCTCCTCCCCCCCCTTTCCTCCTTCTCCTCCTCCTCCTCCTCCTCCTCCCTCCTCCTCCTCCTCCTCTTCCTCCCCCTCTCTCCTGTCTCCCCCCTCATCTTCCTCCATCCCCCTCCTCCTGTTCACACCGCCCAGGGAACGGCGGGTGCCTCTGGGCCCCGCGAGGGAGAGGACAGGGACGCTCTCAGCCCCTCCCCAGGTCCCGGCAAGGCCCATCTGCATGCCCCCTTCTGGCCTCGGGGCATCGCTTCCCCACGTGGTGCATATTGGAACGTCCGGCTTCGGAGCGGAGGGCGGACGTGGGGATGGACGGCGGCATCGGTGCTCGGGTCCGGCGCGTGCCTGGCTCGGCTGGGCGGCGGCATCGGAGCATTGGTGGCTTCGGTGCACCAGCGCCAGAGCCAGGGACATCTGGCGGATGGAGGTGGAGTCGGGGCTTCTTTCTCCGCCAGAGATGGAGGGGGCAGCCCGTGCACCAGCTTCAGGGTCGGGCGGGGCGCCACTCTGATCGGAGGGGTGCCGGTCGAGACAGCCGCGGCCCTCCCCGACGTCTTTCGCCATTTGTTAGGGCCTCCGGGTTGCTTCTCGCGCCGCCGCGGCTGGCTCCGCCTCGAAGAACGGCTCAGCATGGACCCCGGGAGGGGTCGGGGGACCCACGGTGAGCCCGCAGAGTAAGGAAGGATCGGCTATTTTCCCAGGGGTACCCTTGCATCCTGGCCCCGTCGGCCCAACCTTAGCGACTTTCGCTGGCCGACCTCGAGTGGTAAACGTTTACATGGGCCTCCGAGGTCCTTGCATCCTCATCGCGCATCCTTTCGATACGGGTTGATTGTATGTTGCTGGAGAGCCGCCGTTGTCACAAGTTGCCTTCCTCCGATGGGCGGCCCGGCTGGCGGGCCTCGACTTCCAGCTGAGGCCCCAGGAACCAGGACACCTCGCAGGGCAGGCTTTGGAAACGACGGCTGGAGAGAACCAAGAATGAGGATTGCTTCGACACACGGCGGCAGTACAGTCAGCCCACATAGTAAGCATGGGCAACCTTCCCAAGGTTCCCCTTGCATCCCTGCCTCCTCAGTCCATCCTTGGCCACTTTCGTTGGCCACTCCCCGCTCGAAAAGCTTCGATGTGGCCTTCCAAGGCCCTTGAATCCTTCTCGTGCGTCCTCACTGCACCGGTTGACTGGCTTTTCGGGCATTCCAGTGTCCCGTTCTCTTAAAAGCCCCCGTCTCCGGAAGAGGGATCCAGCACGGGCGTCCCGCTCACACGTCCCCGGCTCGGCCTGCCAGGGGCACCGCGGCCCAAGCTTGTTCCGTCCTTGCTCGGCCACGCCAGTGAGGGGGCGACGCGGGGGGTCGAGTGATCCGGTTTGTCGAACGCTCTGGCTCGCAGCATTGGAGCCGGCTGGGGGGTCCGAGGTGGAGGAGCATATGCAGCCTTGGTTCTGGCCAGCAGGAGAAGGGCGGGCAGGCGCGACGTTCCAGGCTCGGGATGTTTGTTCTGCCTTCTTTGCGCTCCGCGGGCCGTTTTCGGACCGCGGAACTCTCAAAAACGGATCCAGGGTAAGAAACTTCATCAGATGAACCCCGGGAGGAGTTCGGGTTCCAACCAGGTCAGACCCTCCAGCCGCCCCCAACTCGCAGAGGTGTCTTCCTCCCCCCGTGCCTCGAGGGAATGGCGTCTCGCAGCTGGAACTGGTCCGGCATGCACGCAATCCACCGCACACAAGTTTGGTTCCCAAATTATCTCAGGAGTAGAATGAGCGTGCCAATGCCCGTTTTGTCAAAGTCTTGCTGTGGCTGAGGCTGGGTTTCACAAGCGAGCCCTGCAGTCGTGAAGTCTTCACGACTGCGCTTTGGCTCAGTCTTGTGCTTCCAGCTGTGTTAAAGATCACCGTCCTCACTATTTTTTGGAAATAGGGGGAAAAAGGAGGAAAAAGGTAGAAAACTTGCGGGGTCGGCGGCAAGCTGGTCATATGGGGCGCGGCCGCGCGGCCGCAAGAAACCCGTCCATCTCGTCGGCAGGGACCAGCGCCTGGCGGCGCAGACGGGGAGACAGGAAGGGAGAGCGGAGTCAAGGGAAGAACCATGAGCGAAATATGGGGAGGAGGGGCGGAGGGGGCAAGAGAAGGGCAAGAGAAGGGAAAGGAGGGGCAAGAAAAGGGGCATGAGAAGGGAAAGGAACGAGAGCGGGCCTCTCCGAGGCGGTGGGGGGCAGGAAAGGGCGGGAAGGATCATGGAAAAGAAGGGGGGGAAGTATGGGGCGAGAAGTGGGCGAGGGGGGGAAGGAAGCACGGGGGAGGACTGCAGTCATCGCACCCCCCCACCCACACACGCACCCACACACACAAAGAACGCAGAACTGCGATCGAATTGGGTGCTCTGGCCACGGAGGGCCTGGATCACAGGCAGGTTCCATCACATAAATCGAAAGAGTGGTCCTTATTTCAGCGTCTTGATTGCGCAGTGCGCGCGGCCATTTCACGTGTCCAGCGCCCCGCGCTGGCGCAACTGTTGCTCGAATCATGTCTTCGCAGCGCGCGATACGCTCGCGCGAAAATGGGGCGACGGGCCGCGAGGGGAGGATGGGGAGGAGGAGTCGGAAACGAGGAGGGAACGGATGAGGATGAAAAGGAGGAGGGCGAGGGGGAGGAGGAGGAGGAGGAGGAGGAGGAGGAGGAGGAGGAGGAGGAGAAGTCAGGAGGATGAGGATCACGAGGAGGAGGGGAAGAAGGATGAGGCGGAGGAAGAGGATGAGGAGGGGGAGTAGGAGGAAGAGGAGGAGGAGGAGGAAGAGGAGGAGGAGGAGGGAATGAGGAGGAGGAGGAGGAGGAGGGAATGAGGAGGAGGAGGAGGAGGAGGAGGAGGAGGAGGAGGAGGAGGAGGAGGAGGAGTGGGGGCGAGCGAGAGGCTCACAAACCACCTGCCCCGAAGCCTGAGGGGGAGAGGCGGGAAAGGTTACTCGCCCTGGCGGCCCGCGCGAGCGCAGCCGCTGCCCTAGCTTGCCGCTCGCAGTCGCCGCCGCCCACCGAAGAAGGGCGCGTGGGACGAGGGAGGCGGGGGGGGCGCCGACGCGGGCGATGGGGGAACGGATAACGGCGATGGCAATGCCGCGCGCATCGGGCACGAGGGGGGCGAACACGAGAACGAATGCTGGGGGGGGCGGACTACTGCGCATGCGGACGACTCACGATAATGAACATGAGGACTGATGACGAGGACGAGGACGAGGATGGGGATGATGAGGACGAGGGCGAGGATGGGGATGAAGGCCACCCCGCGACTCGTCTCAGCCGCCTTCCTGACATCCCCCCCCCCCCCTCCACATCCACCCGCCACTCGACTCCCTGATCACCGCGTGTTCATCACGCCCTCCACTGCCCTCCACCCCATCCTGTCCTCCGCCCTCCAGCCCGCCAGGTCGGCGGGCGCGCGGCGCAGACGCCGCCCCCCTCACGCTGCTCAGCTGCCGAAGCCGAGCTTTTTCTGGCCGCGGGCCTCGCCAGCCTTCTTCAAGGCCTTTTGCTTGGGTCCTGCCTTCGCGTTCTCGTCGGCAGAGCGCTTGGTCGCCAGCGTCGCCTGGCTCTGGCGCTCCTCCTCAGCCTGCTTGGCCAGGCGCTTCTCCTCCTCAGCCTGCTTGGCCTGGCGCTTCGCCTCCTCAGCCTGCTTGGCCTGGCGCTCCTCATCCTCAGCCTGCTTGGCCTTGCGCTCCTCCTCAGCCTGCTTGGCACGGCGCTCCTCCTCAGCCTGCTTGGCCAGGCGCTCCTCCGCGGCCTGCTTGGCCTGGCGCTGCTCCTCAGCTTGCTTGGCCTGGCGCGTCTCCTCCTCCGCCTGCTTGGCCTGGCGCTCCTCCTCTGCCTGCTTGGCCTGGCGCTTCTCCTCCTCAGCCTTCTTGGCCTGGCGCTCCTCATATTCCTGCTTGGCCTGGCGCTCCTCCTCAGCCTGCTTGGCCTGGAGCTGTTCCTCCTCCTCAGCCTGCTTGTCCATGCGCTGCCCATCCTCAACCTGCTTGGCCTGGCGCTCGTCCTCAGGATCCTCAGCCTGCTTGGCCTGGCGTTCCTCGTCCTCCCCAGCCTGCTTGGCCTGGGGCCCCTCCGCGGCCTGCTTGGCCTGGCGCTCCTCCTCAGCCTGCGTGACATGCTGCCCCCCCTCAGCATGATTGGCCAGGCGCGCATCCTCAGCCGTCTTGGCCAGGCGCTCCTCCCCCTGCTCTGCAGTCTGCGTGGCCTGGCGCTCATCCTCAACCTGCTTGGTCCGGCGTTCCTTTTCCTCCCCAGCCTGCTTGGCCAGGCGCTTCTCCTCCTCAGCGTGCCTGGCCTGGCGCTCCTCCTCAGCCTGCTTGGCCAGGCGCTCCTCCTCAGACTGCTTGGCCTGGCGCGTCTCTTCCTCAGCCTGCTTAGCCTGGCGCTCCTCCTCTGCCTGCTTGGTCTGGCGCTCCTCATCAGCCTGCTTGGCCAGGCGCTCCTCCTCTGCCTGCTTGGCCTGGCGCTTCTCCTCCTCAGCCTGCTTGGCCTGGCGTTCCTCCTCAGCCTGCTTGGCCTGGCGCTCCGCCTCAGCCTGCGTGGCCAGCGCCGCTCCTCCTCTTCTGCTTGGCCTGGCTTCAGCCTGCTTGGCCAGGCGCTCCTCCTCAGCCTTCTTGGCCAGGCGCTCCTCCTCCTCAGCCTGCTTGGCTTTGGCCTGGCGCTCCTCCTCAGCCTGCTTGGCCTGGCGCTCCTCCTCAGCCTGCTTGGCCAGGCGCTCCTCCTCAGCCTTCTTGGCCAGGCGCTCCTCCTCAGCCTGCTTGGCCTGGCGCTCCTCCTCAGCCTGCTTGGCCAGGCGCTCCTCC